ATTTTAACATAGTCTGCACCTTCAGCAACCAGTAGTACAAGAAAAACCCAACCAAAACAAAAATCTATGAGTTCAATTCCTACTTAATAGAATACTATGTAAGGATATATTATAAGAGCAGGTTCCAGATTAGACCAAAAATACTCTAATTTGCTTCTAAGCCTTCAAAGAAGAAAGAGCAATGAAAGTGTGAAAATGAAGTTCCTCTTTCCTAACTGTCCTCCTTCATTTGACAAAGCTTCTATTTTAATTATGGTAAAACCAGTAGTGCTACTTAAACCTGGTAAAATCTAGACTGCCTAGGGAAACTAGAAATATCCATCACTGGAGGTGTTCAAGAGGCTGGGCAGGCATTGGTCAGGGATGATCAAGGCGTTGCTCTGCCTGTTCTACCACAGCAGGGGCGGGCAATTATTTTGGGCAGAGGGCTACTTACTGAGTTTTGGCAAGCCATCAAGGGCCGTATGACAGGCAGCCCAGGGCAGATAAATATTAATTTAATTTTTTGGGGCCCGCGGGCCAGATAGAATGGCCTGGTGGGCTGCATCTGGCCCGCAGGCCGCATTTAGCCCACCCCTGTACCATGGGTATTTCCCATTCCTCTGGGTTTTGCTGGTTGCTGCATGGGGGCAGGAGGGATTTTTTTTCTACTCCTGCCACCCAATGTTTCTGAGGAAAATGTAGTGTTAGTTGCAGCCAAGGCTAGGGATTTTAAGGAGGGTGTGCCAGTGCTCCTGCTAGGACTTGAACCTGGAGGTTCCTGGCTAGATGGTCTTGTCCCTCCACTCAGGATTAGACTGACTGTAATATTTTAGGTCGGTATGAACTGGGGGAGGGGGCGGGGTTTGCCTTCCTCTGTAGTAGGGGTGGGGGATGTGGCTTTCTTCCTGGGACCTATCAGGCAGATTTTAAGAACTAACCAGCAAGATGTCAGCTGCCATGATACCCCTGCCCACCCCAACAAACCTCCCCAGAAGATTAGGGTGCTACCTGTGTAGTTCAGTTAGGAGGTTAAATGGTGCTGCTACAGGTTACATTTTAAACATTTTAAATCTGTGAAATATTATGCTGTCATAAAGTTAGAAGTTTCAGAGCAGTCACAGGTTACTGCTTAATGTCATCTCAGACTTGCACAACTGTGACTTGCCACCAGAGGGCCTGGTGAGCATGGGCACAGATAAGGGCCAAGACCAGGGGCGGGCAATTATTTTGGGCAGAGGGCAGCTTACTGAGTTTTGGCAAGCCATTGAGGGCCGCATGACAGGCAGCCCAGGACAGATTAAAATATTAATTTTCTAAATTTTTTAGGGGGCCTGGGGGCCAGATAGAATGGCCTGGCAGGCCACATTTTGCCCACCCCTAGCCAAGACAATTCCTGCCCTGAGGTGGAAGGTGTGTGCATGGGTGGGTGGCAAAGGCCAGGACTCTATTCTGCCCTTGGAGCTTCCCTGTTGCTTGCCTCCATCCTTAGCAGCAGAAGCCAAGCCAAAGTCAAGAGTGGGAGGAGACAAATCTTGAAAATATGTGGGGGGGTGGCAGGGGAGCATAAAGAAAAAAGGAGTGAAAAAATAATTTAAAAAATTAAAGGGCCAGAATCTTACAGATGTCAATGAATTCAGATTGGGTGGGGACAGGACTGAGGGGGAGAAGAGGAGAGTTGAGTTAGGGGCAGCCAAGGTCCTGCTGGCTGGGATGGAAAAGCTGTGTCACTGGGAAAGAGAAGGAACAGCCAAGACACAAGGCTGAGAACCAGCATGCCTAGTGTATGGCATAGATCGCACACCAGAGTGGAGCTGAGAAACAGAGTTTGTGGGCCCAAGAAAACAGGAGCGATAAAGCAGCTAGCCAGCAGCAACAGGGAGGGGGGCAGCGAGAGCAGGGCAGCTGTGCCTCATTTTCCCTATGTCAGCCATGGAATCAGCTTCACCTTGGTCTGCTTAAAACTCTTGAATGTTATGTAAAGTGTTTCTACATAATTATTTTAAAACATTTTTATTTAAAAGATTGTCATGTGGATAGGCCAATAAAAAGTAATCGAATTGTTTAGTTCTGAAGAAAAAGAGTATAGAGCAAGGATGAGAAAGCAAACAATAGGTGATATAGGAAAGATAAATTTGGTGCTTTCCATAAAACAAGAACAAAGTTACAGTCAGGTGAAACTGAACACACAAAATGATTTAATGCATCAAGCAACTAGCCTGTTAAAGTTTTCTCCTAGGTAAGTTGTTTTGTTTTTAAAAACCACATGAATACAAAAAGTTACATTAAACAGAAAAAGGTCTTGTATGTAAAAAAGCTTTATGATTGCTCAGAGCTCCAGTATGAAACTAGCAAGGGGCCTGCCAAAAGTCTCTGGGTTAGGATCAGATGAGACAGCAGCAAGGGTAATGTTGTGGTGGGGGTCTGCTATAGGCCACCAGACCTGGAGGAAGTGGTGGATGAGGCTCTCTTCAGACAACTAGTGGAAGTTTCCCGACCACAGGCCCTCGTTCTCAAGGGGGATTTCAATAACCCTGACATCTGCTGGGAAGGGAATCCAGGAAGTTTTTAAGTGAGTGTTGGGGCCAACTCTCTTGTACAAATGTTGGAGAGACCAACTAGAGGCCATACTCTTCTTCACCTGCTGCTCAAACAGGGAAGAATTGGTGGGGAAAGTAGTAGTGGACAGCAACGTAGGCAACAGCAGCCATGAGAAGATCCTGAGAAAAGGAAGAATGGAGAGCAGCAAAATAAGGACCCAGCACTTCAAAAAAGCAGACTTTGATTTCCTTAGGGAACTGATGGGCAGGATCCTCCAGGAAGCCATTCTGAGGGGGAGAGGAGTCCAGGAGAGCCAGCTGTACTTGAAAGAAGATTTACTGAGAGTGCAAAAACAAACCACCCCTATGTGCAGGAAGACTAGCAAGAATGGCAGCAGATCAGCTTGGCTTAGTAAGGAACTCTCCAGTAAACTATATCACAAAAAGAAAGTTTATAAGAGTGGAAACTTGGACAAACAACTAGGGAGGAGTATGAGTATTGCTCAGGCATGCAGGGATGAAGTCTGGAAGGCCAAAGCACAATTGGAGTTGCAGCCAGCAAAGGATGTAGAAATCCTTGTTACTTTTTACAAGTATGTCAGCAACAAAAGGAAGTTTAAGGAAAGTGGGGGAGGACTGGAAAAGCATAAATATAGTGCTCATCTTTAAGAAAGGGAAGAAGGAGTATCCAGGGAACTACAGATCAGTCAGACTCACTTCAGTCCCTGGAAAAATCATGGAGCAGATCCTCAAGAAATCCATTTCTAAGCACTTGGAGGAAAATAAGGTGATTAGGAACAGTCAGCATGGATTCACCACGTTGCCTTCTATAATGAGATGACTGGTTCTGTGGATGTGGGAAGACCAAGGGCAGGGGGAGGGGAGTAGTAAATACACTAGAGGATAGGGTGAGGATTCAGAGAGACCTAGACAAATCGGAGGATTGGACCAAAAGAAATCTCATGAGGTCCAATAAGGACAAGTGCAATGTCCTGAAATTAGGATGGAACAATCCCATGCACTGGTACAGGCTGGGGACCAATTGGCTAAGCAGCAGTTCTGCAGAAAAGGGCTTGGCGATTACAGTGGACAAGAAGTTGAAGATGAGCCAGCAGCAGGCCCTTGTTGCCAAAAAGGCTAATGGCATACTGGGCTGCATTTGGTAGGAACATCGCCAGCAGATTGAGGGAACTGATTATTCCCCTCTGTTCAGCATTGGTGAGGCCACGTCTGGAGTCCTGTGTCCAGTTTTGCACCCCCCGCTACAGAAAGGGCGTGGACAAATTGGAGAGAGTCCAACAGAGGGCAACAAAAATGGTGAGGGGGCTGGGGCACATGAAGAGACTGAGAGGGGATTTAATAGCAGCCTTCAACTATCTGAAGGGGGCTCAAAAGAAGATGGAGTTAGACCAGGGGGTTTCAACCTGGGCGTACTTTGGAAGGCCCCAGGGAGTATGCAGCAGCAGTGTGGAGAAGCCGGCAGCACTTCTGTTTTCACTGCTGTGTGCCGTACAGACAGGGCTCCCTGCTGGGGACCACCCCCTGCTCCTCCACTGGCCCTCAGGGGACTGCCTGCTTCTTGATTGGCCACTGGAGGTACCCCAACCAATAAAGACTGAAAACCCCTGAGCTAGACTGTTCTCAGTGGTGGCAGATGATAGAACAAGAAGCAATGTTCTCAAGTTACAACAAGGGAAGTTTAGATTACACATTAGGAAAAACTCTCACTAGGAGGGTAGCAAAACACTGGGATATGTTACCCAGAGAGGTGATGGAAGCTCAGTCCTTGGTTTTTAAGGCCTGGCTTGACAAAGCCTTGGCTGGGATGATCTAGTTGGGGATGGTCCTGCTTTGGGAACAGGGTTAGATTAGATTTCCAGAGGTCCTTTCCAAACGTGAATTTCTATGATTCAATCCAACCCACAGGACCCTCAGCTCCCTCGTCAACACGCCATGGATGGCACAGCCTCACAGGCTGATTCTGGACTGTGCTGGGGTCGAGCACCCAATTTAAAGCCTTACAGAAAAAAAAGAGAAAAAAAAAGCCCGAAGGCAGTACCCGATTCTCCCTGCCGCCCCTCAACCCGAGCAAGGGCCGCACACGCAACACGCAGCGCTAGATCTGCACGCTCACACACCTGTCCGGGGCAGCCGCCAGGTCAGGATTGCGGAGCTTGGCAGGGGCTGTGGCGCCGCCTGCGGGCAGAAGCTGCCGGGCCCCAGGAATGCACCGCCCCCACCTTGGAGCGCGCAGGCGCACACAACGCCACACCCTCCCAACCGCCTTTACTGCCACGCGGGGGAGCGGGGAGAACCAGCAGCGCCACAGTCGGGGGCGGAAAGGGAGAGCCCTCCAGCAGGCCGGGAAGGAACAGGGCCCACACGCGACCCCCGCCTCACGGCTGTGGTGCGAGAGAGAGAGGAGGGGAGAGCTGCTCTTATACCCCGGAAGAGCAGGAGGTGGCGGCGGCTGCTCCTCACCTTGAACATGATGTTAGCGGCAGCGCCCCACCTTCCGGAGCCGCGCGTCGCCGGGCTATGACGCTACACGCCAGAGCTTACGCCAGCGCGCGCGGGCAGGAGGGGCGGAGCGATGCCGTCCGCGCGTCGCGGTCTCCAGGCAGCCGGGGGGGCGGGGCCTACGGGTGTCCCAAAGCGACGCGCGTGGGTGCGTGAGTGACTCGTGTGTCCCCGCAGGGCGGCGCTGGCGCTGGCGGAGAGGGCGGCCCGCACGGTGCAGCGGGCCTGGTGGGGCTACCTGGCGCGGCGGCTGTTCCGGCTCCTCACCCGCGCCGTGCGGGCCGCGGTAGGTCGGAGCTGGGAGGGGCGGCCACGCCCAGGCTCCCTCCCCTCCCGCTGTGAGGGGCTGTAAAGGCTGGCGCGATGGAGGGCGCTGAAGACGTCAGCAGGCACCTGCTGACGTGATGAGGGGCGGAGCCGGCCCCTAGCGCACTCTTGCTCGGGGTTCCAAGGACTGGAGGGTGCCTGGTCGTGTCCCAGACAAAGCTGGTGGGCTACAGCTGAGATTTTTTATTAGACCAACTAAAGAGTAGTAAAAAGAAAAAAAAAATCTTTGCAAGCTTTCAGATCCAGACCCCCTTGGTCAGCCTGGGGAGCATTAAGATTGTGGAGCTGTTATACCCTTCAGGCTGATGAAACCCTGCAAAGAAAGACATTATTTTTGGTACTGTTTGGTTGCTGTAATAAAAGAGATTGCCTCTAGCACAAGAATTTTTCCTGCCTCTTTCTTAGCCCAACATGGCTACAACATAAGTCCCATCAGCTCCACCCATGTGCCCTGGGAAAGCCCTGCCTGTCTTCTGCTGCCCTTCCCTTTCTTCTGCCTCTGGTATGCTAGCCCTGCAGCCCCAAAGGCCAGTGCAGGCAGTAGGGGAGCTCCCACTTTGATGTGGAACATCCTAGGGGGCAGAGGCACAGGCCAGTGGGACAAAAGGAAGGGGCAGATCGCATGTAAAGAAATGTCAGCACTGTGGTAACATATGCTTCCCCACACACCAGAGGAAGGGGCCCCAAAAAAGCCCCTATAGA